GTTCAGTGGGGACATCTAATTCAGTAATGGGTACACAACGCAAAACGCTCGTCGATTATATCAGCGTTTTAATTCTCAATAATCTTGATGTTCTTCAGTTATTTCATTCACAATAGACAGATTTATAATTACGAGGTTCACTAGAAATAAAAAGTTACAAATTAAAAGCCTATATCTTACGGAAAATCAAATATAATCTTGACATACCATATGGTGTACGTTTACGATCGTCTTGCTGCCTGTCCCGGCTTACATCCCATAATTTCAACTTATGAATATTAATAACCTACGCTAATTAGGAAATCAAATAGTTGTCGTCTACACAATATTTCGAAATTCAAACTTGATACCGAGGCTTCGGTATTGACTGAGAAATAACAAAATCTACCATATACGATACTCCTGAAGTTTGAAGTTTAATACAAATTTAAACATTTTTCCCCCGGAAAGCCTCGATATCGTGCTGAAATTCAAATRTCTCGAACTTGCAAGGCTTATTGAGACTCCGGACCCGAAATCATCTGCTTGGCCCATCAACCTATAAGACATTGACTACAAACGCTTGCCTGAAAATGTAATATTTATGAATTTTACTCACTGAAACCTAAATACAATCCAACAAAGATCTTCTCTAGCCAAGAAGACCAACTGAAATTCCGATCCAAAACCCCTTTGGACCATAAATAATGACTAAAGACACACAAGACAGCGACTACAAATGCACTGGAAAAAGATGCTACGAAAAAAAAAAACAAACAACACATTTCTCGTCTGTCGAGGCTTCTCGACAAAGGTTAACTTGATGAGATCAAGGTAAGTTGGAGTCAATGAATCGTTTATTTTTGACAACGGTGCAAAACAATTTTAACTACGAGACGAAAACACTGCGTGGTACTGTCTTGCTTATCGTAGGTTACTCTAGACTCTGACACTAGATTGACGTGACGTATAGATAGTAAGTGACTTATTTTTGCCATAGTAACCTTGGAAAATATGGTTACTAATGGCCTTACTGACTGAATAGATTGACGAGACGTATCGACAGCAAATACCTATTGTTGCCATAGTAACCTTGGAACATATGGTTACTAATGGCCTTACTGACTGAATACTTACTTAAAACTAACTTACTAAAAGACTGTTTTAATGTTTTAACTGTTTTAACATATATTGAGAGCAAATATCTTCTGTTTTTTTATAGTAATTTTAGTTACTATGATTATTTATAGTCTGACTGGCTACCATTAAGAGTATTGATTACTCGACAGCCAGGCCAAAAGCTATGACGAAGGCCTTATCGATAGTTATACCTCATAAGTTGCCTGACAGTTCGTTCCACATTTGTTGTTTTCCCCCAGTCTTTGACTTTCTTAATTAACTCTATCTTTTTAGTTCGTTCATATTTTCAATTTCTTCTTCCAAATGCAATGTACCCTCACTCTTTAGTAAAGTACTTTCCATAACTTCTATTCACTTCGTCATGAGATTATTTTCAAATTACTCTCTTTTTGAAAATAAAACCAGTCATTCGTGAAGAAAATTGTAGCTTAGTCAATGGGAGCTTTCTCTATTAATATCTATCACACTAATGATGTCACTCTACAGACCTTTTCAACTTGGTCTTGACATTTTCCCATTTGCCAGTAAACATCTATTTCAAAAATCGTTGTTGGTCGGAGATCTGAAATCTGAGACCGAAATGAATTACGGGCTGTGAATGGTTTTGTCTTTTTGATTCAGTTTTTCGCCACAAGTAAAATATCAAAATATGCTAACTTTGAACTGCGCTGGCGAATTGTTTATACTGTATTTCGAATTTTTAACGAGAAAATATTCAGTCCCGCACAATTCTATTCTATTCAATTCTGTCTCAGATTTCAGATTTCAGATCTCCGACAACGACAACTTTTTTTGAATTAGATGAATACTTTACCCTTTTTAACAATGCGGACGAATTTTAATGATAAAATCGGTTCCCTCAAACTGAAAAAAATAAATAATAATAATAATAATAATAATAATAATAATAATAATAATAATATTAATTACGGTTTTAATATTTATTTATAATGTTCCTTCAGTTTTGATTGTAATACATTGTTATTTTTTTTTGTTGCCATTCAGTTGCTGTCCGGAGCCTTATCCAGACATCACATTCTACATCCACATTCGTCGGGACCCAGGCTTTTATCTCTTTAACATCATTGTCCCATGTATGTTCCTTACCATGCTAAGTGTCCTGACCTTCCTGCTTCCTCCAGAGTTCGGCGAGCGTATCACCTTGGTAATAGAATCCTTCTTCGCCATGGCGGTCATCATCTTGAATGTCTCTGATCAAATCCCCGTCACTTCAGATGCCACGCCTATCCTCGTGCACATGCTTCTGATATCCATGTTTCAAATAGGAGGATGTCTTGTTGCAAATGCCATCGCCTTGAATCTTTATAAAAACTATGAGGTTCCCGAGTGGGTGCGAGTGGTGATCTTACATTACCTTAGCAGATGCCTGTTTATGAAATCAGCAGGAGAGATTGAGTCTCCAGCCCCAGTGGATATGAGAATGCTCGACGACGCCAACCATCACCAAACGAAATTAGCAGGAGCAAAACATTACAACGGTCCCTTGGATTCCAGAGCCAAGATTACCACAAATCTCGACGGTCTCGGCCTTAAACAAATGTACGACCCATTTGACACACCAGACATGGCCAAGATTGCAGATGGGTTCCAGGAGTTAGCAAGGCACGCGGTCAGAGAGAATGAAAGCGATAAAGATCGGGAGTTCATGCACTTTACTTGTATCGTCATGGACAGGGTTTTTTTCATATTATTCTTTTTCATTTTAACCGGTTCGTTTTGGAAGATTTTTGGTGAAGTTCCAGCTCATTATTTTTAAATATTGGGAAAGGAAACGTTGTTTTCGAAAAGAAAACGTTGTCTAGGGCTTTAATTACACATTCGTGTGTGCGGTTTTTTAACTTGGGTCCCGAGCCATCTCAGACATTTTTGGCAATGAATCAAGAAAACATCGTCAAACAGCATAAGTTTTCTTGTGTCAGTAAAATGACTCGCGCGTGCGCAATATTTTTTTTCGAAAGGACCCTTAACTACTTAAAATTATCTGAAATGTGCTAGGCTAACATGTAATGAAAAATAAAGACAAAAAGGAAAAAAGGAAAAAAGGAAAAAAGAAATCGCGCTTTTTATAGATTTTTTCTAGATGGAATTTGTGGCATTTTTTCGTATTTTCATGCATGTTAGCCTCGCATCCAATACAATACTCCCATTTCGAATTCGCCTTTGATCAGTCTTAGCCTCGATTGTGTACGAATGTGTTCTTTTCTTTTATTAAAGTCTATTGTATAGTAAGGAATGCACGTACTAGGGAACGATACAAGTTGAATAAGAATCCACGTTTTTTAGTTGAGTGGCTGAATATTTCAACACACTACACAACTAAGGCTAAGGCTGATTAAAAGAGAAGTCGAAGAAACTAGAGTATTTTGAGAGGGTCAATGCGCATGCCCATGAATGTTCTATTCAGAACAAACCACTGCGCATGATTAATTGGCTCTGTTCTGATTAACTCAAAGTATTTAGATCCGAATTCAGGACATATTTCGACCCTGAGTTTCCTTTCAAATTTGAATCTGACTCTCGTACTAAACAATGTTGTCCTGAGTCGGGTTTCAGTTATCACGAAATTAAATTTTAAGGTTGGAAGCATAGAAACTTTCTGGGAGCTAAGAGAGAGCCGGTCCCTTAAACATCTCACTTCAAATCATCAACATTTATCGTTTGGCCTTGGAGTTATATAGGAGGTTGTTTAAGCGGAAAATCTCATTCATTCAAATGTATATCGGTACAGAATATAACAAAAACATTGAGTTCGTACTTAATTCATAAAAGTGAATCAATGTTAAAATAGATCCTTTAAAATGAAAAAAAGGTGCATGTCAAAAAAGTACATAACTTTATAAGTTTTTTTCCTCGATGTTAGAGTGAATTCGAATTTAGTCTAACTGTTGAATACTAGCTGACGTAAGCGTCACTAAATGGACCGGTCATTATGATGGAGAGGGGGGAGGGGGAAGGG